GCGTCCCGCCGCAGCCCCCGCGCCTGCATTTCGCTCCGCATGCTGGCGAAGAAGTGCAGCACGCAGCGGTGCGCGAAGTCCCGCGCGTGCTCGCAGCACGTCTCGTCGAAGAGCTTCTGCTCCAGGTCCACGTAGTTGCTCCAGTATCTGCGCTGCAGGAAGACTGTCTGGTCAAAGCAGGGCCTCAGGCAGCGGACCAGGACGGCCAGGACGATCAGCAGCAGGGTGACACTCCAGCCAATGGCCTAGAGGGTGGGGGAACGGTGCGTGTGGGCAGGGCGCGGCGCTGAGGTGGATACCCCGTGGGGAGCAGGCCTCTGGGGAGACCCTGCCTTGTAGGGAGGCGGGTAAGAGGGTCGGGAGTTATAACGTGCATTCAGATCCCTGCCCTGCCTCTTCCAAGCTGGGTGACTTTGGCCTAGTGAACTAAACTCTGGGAGCCTCCGTTTCCTCATCTGTGAAATGGGACGATAATCGCTGCGTCCGCTTCAGAGCGTTCTGAGAATTCAATGAAGGAGTGCGTGCGAAATGCTTAACACAGTGCCTGACAGGTAAGTGCTCAGTAAAAGGTGCTTAGTGTTATTTCTGAGGGGCGGGAAGAATGTGTGTATTGGGTGGACAGAGGAGTATATCTCCAGCGCTTTCTGCCATCCAGCCTCCCGAGGAGGGGCCTCGCTGACTCCTGGAGGATATGGATACCTGGTCTCTGTCCCCGGTGAGTCAGCACAGATGACCAAGCGCCCACTTCCTAAGGCCCAACACTGTCCTATGCATGAGTCATGTTCCTGATCCCCCTGGGAACTGCCTGCTCCTTGGTTGTGTCCCCAGCAGTGGGCAGGGGCTGCAGGAAGTTACTTCTACTTCCGCATCCCTCGGAACCCATGCAGGACATTTGGGAGGGCCGGGAGAGGATCTTTCAAATTACCTGTGACAGGCACCGCAGGTAGCGAGACACTGCCTTTCGAGCAGGGCTGTCCCTGACCAGCTCATCCTCCTTGCAGGGCACCTTGGCCAGGAAGAGCTGAACCTGGCTGGGGGTCATGTTGGCAAAGTCCAGAAACTTCTCAGGGTCCACGGAGCTGCTGAAGGCACACACGAAGCACTTCCCATCAAGGAGGGCCAGCAGGATCCAGAGAAGGGGGGCGGCCAGCGCTCTCTGCAGCACAGAGGAGCACATATACCTGGGAGCAGAGGAAAGGGGGGGGGTCACAAAGGGCACCTGGAATTCAGCTGAAACAGGAAGGCTACAGGAGAGATGCAAGGATGGACTTCCCAGGAGGGCTGGGAATTACTATTCTTAGTTACATCAAAGGAATGGCTGCAGCTCCCACTGCAGGGGTCCCAGCAGCAGAGGGCAAGGAGGAAGGAGGGCTGGGGCCCTGGGAGTCCCAGGACTGCAACACTGGGGAGCTGGTGTTCTTCCCGTTCTGGGCCTTGTAGCAGACTCTGCTGGTGCCCTGCCCAGCCAGAGGCATCTACAGCTTAGGCCTATAGTTCCTATTCATGTGGAGGCCTGAGGGCCTCCCACCTCAACCACCTCAATCACCTGCCTGGCTCTGCCTGAAAGCTTTGGAGGAGCCTCTCCGCCTTAGGGCCAGGCTGCAAGAAAGTTCACAACCCCCAACTCAACCTTTAACCCAAGAAGGGTGGGGCCTGGTGGATAAATACCCCCACCTTCCTAACCCTCAGTGCGACATTTCTGAGATATATCCTACCCACTCTCTCAGAGGGTCCCCAGAAGGACTGAACCCCAGTTGCCCACTCATTATCACATTCTTCTCAGGGCCTGCTTTTGAGGGGAGCCTAAACTAAGACAGCCATGCCCAAGAGCACCTTGGACACCTCCCCCAGCATCCAGGAAACTCCCCTTTGACTCTCCGCAGATGCCTCTCCTGACCTACTCTGCCCCTCTCAGGGCCTGAATGGGGTGTTGATCACAGGACAGGAGCTCAGTAGAGCTGCAACCACTGGCTCCCAAAGAAAAAGGTCAAGGACACACCCAGTGCATGTGACCCTCCCTTTGTGGCTGGATGACAGGGAGCACAGAGCCCCTGAGGAACACAAAACAGAGGCTGCTTGTGTACAGGATGCAGCTGTTTCTAACTTTCATTTGTAACAAACATAAAATGGTGAATGCTGTGTGTGTGTATGTGTGTGCGTGCGTGTGCGTGCACGTATGACCTGCCCAGCAGTGAATTATAAATATGCTGTAGTCAGGGGAGGCTCCAGCATTTTCTCTGGGGGCTGTGTGGTTAGAAGGGGGAACTGAGGATTCCTCATGAAGTTACCTTGCATGCCCTTGAGGACACCTCAATTGTCCATGTCAAAGCATAGGGTGGAAGAGGAGATGGTGAGCCTGCGAACCCCCACCAAGCCCCTCGTGCCACTGCCCACAGGTTTAGAGTACTTAGATGTTTTTTCTGAAACACTAAAGGCAGTGGAGTGAGCTGTGCTTCTTCCTACCTGTGGGAGCTCAGCCAAGTTACTTAACTTCTCTGTGCCTCAGGTGCCTTATCCTTAGAAATGGATCATATATAGGAGCAGACCCAGGGCTGAAGTGAGAATTCAGAGGCTGTGCACGCACAGAGCTTGGCACTGAGTCGGTGTTGAGTGTTGGCCAGGGAGCAAGTCAAATTGCTAAACTCCATCAACTGATTTTGATAGAGGTCACCCAGCAGGTGGGAGGCTCTGAGGACAGTACAAGCTGCCCTGGGGAGCTTATGGGAGAGGGATGCAGTTTTTAAGCCAACCATGCCTCTCCCTACATGCAAAACCCCTATACATGTCACAGATGGCCCTTCACACATGTAGTGAGGTATAACCCATGGCCAGAGTGACAGATGTGATGTGGGTAATTCTTGGGAATCTTGTATCATTCATATGTCTCTAGCACAGAAAGGTAACAAATGACAGAAATATCTGTTTCTGGAGTGGAAACTGCAAATGGATCTCTTGGACTGATGATGTTAGTTGGGGAAAGGAGGGGGCACAGGTGAGAGTGCCTGTGGGTGCAGGTGAGGAGGCCTGACAACACCCATGGGGGTGATAGGGATTTGGGGGTCACCTGTCAGTGTTTGTGTGGTTGGGGGGGTCCTGACAATGTCCACAGGGGAGGGTCAGGGTGTGGAGGTGCCCCTGGCAATTCCTGTGCAGGTGGGGCCCCTGACAATGCCCACAGGGGAGGGTGAGAGTTTGGGGTGCCCCTGGCCGTGCCTGTGCCCCTGGCCGTGCCTGTGCAGCTGTGGGTGGGGCCTGACAATGGCCACAGGCCTCTGGGTGGAATGGGATCGCACCTGATGACGCCTGGGTCCTTCTGGCGGCGCCCTGCGGGCCGGCGCCACTCCTCGACCATCACCGCGGAGTGCCGGCTGGCCAGGAGGCCGCAGAGGAAGATGACCAGCGGGGGAGTGAACAGCAGGCCCAGGCCGTAGACGGTGTTGTAGCGCACCAGGCAGGGGCAGTGGAAGTCGAAGGAGGAGTACAGCTTGACAGTGACCACGGCCAGCAGCAGGCAGATGCCATTCATCACCGACTCCGAGCTGGACTGGAAGTGCTGGAAGAGCATGCGGAACTTATCCATGGCTCCTGTCCGGTGGCCGGGCGGCGTGGGTGGGGGACAGTGAGGCTTCGGCTGCCTTCCTGGTCAATGCTGGGGGCGAGTCTGGCCCCCAGGAGGTTCTTCCCTTCCAAGAACCTGGGGGACAAAGAGGAGGTGATATCCGGGCTCCCAGCCCTGGGGTCCAGCTCTCCACTAAGGCTCCGATGCCTGGGGATTGTCCCCAGTGCTGGTCCCCTCCTCTCTGGGGAATGAGTCACTGCTCTGTGACCAGCCAGCCCAAAGCACCTCTAGGCAAATGTGCCCTGCCCTGTCACTCCATCTCTCCCCAGCCTATTCCCTCCTCTCTTTAGCGTGCGGATACTGAGGCCTGACGGCTGGAGGGGTGTCGGGCGGGGGACAGGCAAATTCTGGGTGTGGTAAGGCCAAGACTGATGGAACCGATTATATTTTCTGGTCTTGGTTGAAAACATGACTTGATTTTGCTGAGCCCGGGGAGAGTTCATGTTGGCTTTTCATGCTGGGAGGACCCAGGAGGGGCACTTAACTTTGCCTGAAGGTTTCCTGGAAGAGAAACCCCTTGAGAAGAGTTTAAGCCATGTTTCAGCTTTGCCGGTGAAGGCCTTGGACAGGGAAGGCCTTCCAGGCAGAGGGTTCCCCATGGGCAAAGGCACGGAGGTGAGAAGCAGCCTGGTGTGGCCAATGGTTTGGGGTTGCCGGAATGTAGTGTCAGACAGTGGGTGTCAAGGGAGAGGCCAGGAGGGTCAGTGGGTGCCGGCAACCCTCTGCTCCATTTTATTCTGCTGCTCTCTAGGTCGGGTTTCCCTAACTTACAGCTTCCACTACCTTACTCCTCTGCTCAAGTGTGACCGGGGCTCCCGCAGCCTCCTAAGCATGGCACTCAAGGCCCTTCTAACTATATCCAGATGTGTCTTCCCAACTCCACTGAAAACCCATGCCCCTTCTTCCCACGTTCAAGAGGCAGCTCAGATGCAGCCGTCACCAAGCCACCCTTGGTGACCTCAGCTCTGTGGGGGCCTCGATCAACTGTTTGGTCCCAGGAAAGGCCACCTCAGCCTGTTAGTAATCTTTCCTAGCACAGGGACTTGGAGCTGCACCATTTTGTTCTCTGCAGTATCCAGTGTGGTGCTAAACATATAGCAAGTGACAGTGAATGTTCGTTCTTTGTGATAGTGGTGCTCAGACCCCTTCTCTAGCTCTGTCCTGTCTGCCCACCTCTTGACCTGTCCTTGTGGGCCCTGTCTGCTCCTGGGCAGCAAATGAGTGGGATGTAGGTCCTGCCCTTAATTTCTCTGTGTCTCTGTCCCTCTCCCTTTGTCTCTCTCCCATTCTAACTCTCTGTGTCCCTCAGTGTGTGTTTCTGAGTCTTTCTGTGCATGTCTCTGTCTCTATCTCTGTCTCTCTCTCTGTTGCTCCCTCTTCCTGTCTTTCTACCTTTCCCTCCTCCCCTGCTTCTCACCCCATAGCACCCCTGTCTTACTGGCCCACAGGCCTGACACTGGTTGCCTGGTTGGGGAGAGGAAAGGAGGCATCCACAGGAGCCCAAGGGGCTGTCCCTGGGGTTACAGATCAATGGGCCTTGGGCCTGGAGCATGGGGGTGGGCCCCAACCCTGCGGTCTCTTCCTCAGTCTTCATCCCTCTGGCTCCCTCACTGCCAGCCCAGGGCTACCCCTGAGATAAGGAAAACCTCAGGGACTGGGATGGCCTTGACCCCACTGACCCCTACTCCATCCAGCCTGGACCAGCTGGCATCCTGGCCTCCAAGCAATGGTTTTAGTTAACTTTGTGTATCACTGTGGTTCTTTCCTCAGACCCTGGGTCCTCATGGACATGAATGCAGCTTCTCGCCGACCCTCTAGAGCAGCAAGGACTCCGTCCTTCTGAATCCTCTCGAGCCGCAGAGGCCCAGCTCTGACCTGTTACCTCCACGAGGTTCACCAGGATCACTGCCTCTGCACTGACTACCCTATTCCCAAACGACTTTTAGAAAATGGAAATATCCCCACTTTCCCTGATTAAACACACATCAGAGTATCTAATGTGTGAGTGGGGTGTGTGTGGTATATGTCCTTGTGGGTGCATGTGTGTACATGAGTGGTACGTATGTGTGTAGGAAGTGTATAAGTGTGCATCTTCAGAAATACAGGTGTGGTTGTGTCTCTTCTTTCTATACAGTGAGTACACTCTCCCCTGAGGTTTCTTTTTTTCTCTTTCTTTCAAAAGAAAGACATTGGATGCGTGTCCCAGTTCTCTCTCAGGCCTGGGAGGCTTTTGTTCCCTGGTGTCTAGCAGAGCAGTGGTGCCTTCTCCGTCTGAGAGACCTGACTCTTTTATCCTGATGACAGAGGCTTCTGCTGGATCTGTGTGCCAGGCCTCTCTGGTCTGTCTCTGGCAGACCTGGGGGAAAGCATGTGACACTTACATAGACTCCACTCTGGTAACTATATAGAGTCCTGTGGCCCCTAAGGGACTGGAAAAATAATGAAACTGAAAGGGAGGCTATTTAACAAATGGCACTGGAACAGCTGGCTAACTATTTGGGTAAATCTCAGACTGAATCTCTACTTCATTCTTTGTACCCAAATAAATCCCAAATGGCTCAAAGACTTTAACATAAAAATTAAAATAATAAAAATTATACAAGAAAACATAGGTGAATTTATTCATAATCAGAAGCTGGGGAAGGCCTTTGTGAACAGAACACACAGTTCATAGCCATAAAACAGGCTTCAACTTCTGGGGGCAAAATGCCAATAAACAAAGTGAGAATAATAAACTGGAAAAAGATTAATGCCACGTATATGCCACACAAAGGCCTATTTTCCTTCATGTGTAGAGGGAGCATATAAATCAATAAAAAAGGTGAATAAGCTTTGAGAAAAATGGTCAAAGGGTGTCAACAGGCTATTTATAGAAAAGGAAGACATGGTCTCAATCCTGCAAAAATTCTAATTCTCATTTATAATTCCATACAATCTAAACAACCAGGTTCCTTTTTAAACTCACCAAGTTGTTAGAAACGGTAAGATCAACCCTGGCCGGTGTGGCTCAGTTAGTTGCACATAGTTCTGTGCATCAAAAGGTTGTTGGTTCGATTCCCAGTCAGGGCCCATGCCCAGGTTCTGGGCTCCGTCTCCAGTAGGGGGCGTGCAGGAGGCAGCAGATTGATGTTGGATTCACACTGATGTTTCTCTCTCTCTCTCTCTCTTTCCCTCTCTCTCTCTAAAAGTCAATAAACTATTCTTTAAAATATAAAAAATAAAAATAAAAGATTGATAATACTCAGTGTCAATGAGGGCTTAGGGAAATAGCCACTTTTATACACCGATGGTAAGTGTACAAATCTGTAAGAGTTTTCCAGGACAATTTGGCAACATATTTAAAACAAAAATTTAATGCACATGTCCTTTGGCCTAACAGTTACATAGCTCAGAATTGGCCCTATGGATAGATATGCAGAAGTAGCTGAGATAAACGAACAAGGCTATTCATTATAGCTTTGTTTTAATGGCAATAAAACTGGAAAGAACCTACGGTTCATCAACAGGGGACTGTTTAAATAAATTATGTCACTGTCACAAAATGAGGTCTATACAGCCATTAGAAGAACACGCAAATCTGTGTTCATAGGAGAAAGCCTCTAGATTCTGACAAATTAAGAAAGCACAGTTTAGTACATATAAATATGTAAAAATGTTTAGTATTATGCATATACTTTTTGCTTGTAGGACACCCAAGAAATGTTGATAGTTACTACCATTGGGTGGTTGGTGAGGGGGACTATTATTTTCTTTCAATTTTCTACCTTTCTGAGCTGTTTGACTTTTCAAACAATGTGTACCTATGAATTTTACTTTTAAAAGATCAACAAAGGTTTATCTGGGCAGTGGATTTATGAATTAAAAAGTACATTTCTGTATATAAATAAGATTAAAATACTGGTAAAATATTAAAAGATTAAAATATTATGACTTACCCAAAATAAAATGACCAAATTCAACCCTGAACATTCTTCTATACTTAAATTTTTGATCTTCACCCCCTAGGTTACAGAATGTGGAACAACGTTCTTGGTTCACAGTACATTTCTAATTCCTTTCTCAGAAGAAGAAAGAGACAAGCCTGGTTTTATAATATTATTTTCATGTTTTTTTTCCTACATAACTAACAAGCTATAAACATGGATTTTCTGACTAAACTGAAATGAAGTTGTTCCCAGACCCTATTGAGGGGGGCTGGCGTTTTGGCGTGGGACCCTGGGTGTTGGGCCAAATGCAGAGACTTGGGGACAAAAACAGGTGAGGTGCTCTGGGAGGAGGAGCACTGGTCTGGCTGGATTGTCTGAATTCCACTTCTACTCCATAAACACCAGTCAGAATGACTCCAGGGTCCCCTTTCCCCAGTTGCCTACGCGCAACTCATGAGAGTTCTGAGACTGCCCTTTAGCCATCCTGGTGGAGTAGAGGCAGAGGTGATTGTGGGACAGTGCTGGGCTGGGTGTGGCAAGTCCCTGCTCTGAGGGGGTAATTTTGTGTTCAGAGGGCCCATGTAGGAAGCACCTCTGTTACTGGCCACACATCCTCAAGCTCTGTCCACAGAGCAACAGATGGTCACTGGCATCTGCAGAGGGCCAGGTGCTGTGCTGGTGCTGGGCACACACAGGTGCCCACATCAGGTACAGATGCAGACAGTGGAGCACCTCAGTGTGGCTTAAGTTTGGGGAGATCCTCTCTCAATCCTGGGAGAATCTCTGTTGGTGGGTTTGACCTTCTTTGGTCTAGCTACTGTGGTGGGGAGGGCTCCTCTGGAGATGCAATTTCAGGATGAAACATGAGAAGGTGGCCTCAGAGAAGCAAATGTGCCCAAAGGGTAACATCTGGGTGGCTAAAGAGTAGGGCTAGCCCTGGCCAGCGTGGCTCAGTGGTTAGAGCCTCGGCCTGCGCACCAAAGGGTCGAGGGTTCCGTTACTGGTCAAGGGCATGTACCTGGGTTGCAGGTCCCATCCCCACCCCGGTCAGGCGTATGTGGGAGGCGACCAGTGGATGTGTCTATGTGTCATATCGTCGTTTCTCTCTCTCCCCCCTCCCCCCCTTCCACTCTCTCTAAAATCAGTGGAAAAAATATCGTTACTCCTC